AGCGCCAGCTCGCACGTCGCCGCCAAGTTCCTCGCGCGCGTCATGGGCGACGGACCTACCTGGTAGGTGATCCATCCAGATTTTGTCGTTACTCGGGACTGCGACGCCCGGAAGTAGTGCGGCGGGGAGAGCTCCCCCTCCGCACGATGGCGGTCGCGTTCAAACTCGAGGCGTTCCTGCCGCAAGTGCCGGCCAGACGGCTGGGTGTGGTTGCGCTATTTGCATGGACGCGGGCACTGCCGGCGCGTGCATGTGGACACTGCTCCACTGCGGCAGATGGTGAGCATCCTATCATTGGAGAGAGCGTGATCCACCGCCGCTTTACTGTGGAAAATTGCCAACCTTTTCCTCCGGAACCCGGCCCCCCCCCCCCCCCCCCCTCCGAAAATCCCCCCCCCTGCCGGAACCCCTCCCCCCCCCCCACCCCCCCTCCTTCCCGGCAAAACCCCCCCCCCCCCCTCCCCTAACCCCTCCCCCCCCCCCCCCCCCCCCCCCTCGAAAACCGGGGGGGGGTCACTACCGGTTCGAACCCCTCCCCCCCCCCCCTCCGGATCCGGAAAACCGGGGGGGGTCACTACCGGTTGGACCCCCCCCCCCTCGAAAACCGGAGGGGGGTCACTACCGGTTCGACCCCCCTCCCCACGCACCGCCAGCAAACGACTCCCGGTCCCTACCACCGCTCGCATCACATCCCCCACTGTTGTTCCCAGCACCACTGTCCTCACCACCACTGTCCCCACTGGTTCCACCACCGTCCCTATTGTCCCCACCAATGCCCCCACCACTGTCGCACTGTCCCCACTGTTCCCACAACTGTTCCCACCACGGTTCCACTCTCCCCACTGTCTCCACGGACCCAACCACTGCCTATCCCCATTGTCCCCACTGTCCCACTGACTCCTCCGCTGTCCCACTGAGCTGTCCCACTGTTTCCACCACTGTCCCCACTGTCCCCACCACTGTCCCCACTGTACCTCTGTCCCATTGTCCCACCGCCGTCCTCTCGCCACCGCCTTTACCAGTGTCTCCACCACCATTGTACCCTCCACTGTCCCAGTGTTTCCACCTCATTCCCACTGTCCCCACACCACCGTCCCCACCACCACCGTTCCCACCACTATCCACTGTCCCCCCTGTTCCCACCATTGCCGCCACCACTACCGTCCCCACCACTGTCCCACTGTCCCCCCACTGTCCCCACCACTGTCCCGCTGTCCCCTCACCACTGTCCCCGCCAACACCGCCCCCACCACTGTCCGCACCCCCACTCGGTTTTCGAGGGGGGGGGGGGGTTCGAACCGGTAGTGACCCCCCCCCCCCCCTTTTCATGATGAGCTGGGGGGGGAGGGGTTCGAACCGGTAGCGACCCCCCCCGGTTTTCCGGAGGGGGGGGGGGGGGGGGGGGGAGGGGTTCGAACCGGTAGTGACCCCCCCCGGTTTTCCGCCAGCAGCGGTAGAACACGCTCTTTCTATCATTGTCGTCCAACTTGGCGTACCACTTCGTGAACAAAGGGAACGGCGACGCGTCGACGTCGACGTCGTCGACCTCCTCGCTGTCAAACCGGGTCTGTCCTACCTGCTGGAGGCAGCGGATGCGCGCGAACGCGCGCAGCGCGTGGGCTGCCTTGTCGTGGGTAATCCTGAATCGCTGGGAATGAGCGCTTCGGAAAGGTCGCGTCACCTGCAGGACGCGGTGGTCGTCGGTGGGGGACACATCGAGCTGCACGCCGCGGGTGTCGTCGCTGTACGTGATGAATGTCAGGCCCAGGGACGCGGCGTGCGCCGCGATGGCGTTCTGCACGACGTCGCTCCAGACCAGCTTGGAGTGGGAGACGGCGTGGGGGCTCTTGAGAGCCCGCGAGTACTGCGGGTGCTGCAGATTGGTGTGGTGGGCCCAGAAGCGGCCGAAACACCACCAAATGCAGCGCGCATTGAGCAAGGCACGGAACAAGCGCCTGGTGTAGCCCGCCAGGAAAGGGGTCAGCAGCGGCGCAGCCCAGGTCTAGTGTGGTCAGATGCGAACGATGGCGATGATAATGCGCACCACGAAACTGCCCGGGAGGCCGTGCAGAATGTAGATGCTGTTCTCGGTGTTCGCCTGGCCCTTTCGCGGCTGGATGGGCTCAGAGTCCGTGGGGACGGCCGCGAGGCCGAGGTGTTCGATGCGCTTGGGTAGGCCGTCGGCGACACTCCAGGTCTGCCGTTTGCGGGCGTTCTCCGTGAAGCCGACGTCGTTGTCGAACTGCGTGGGTATGGCGACGTCAGCCACGAGGGCGGCCTCGTCGATGTCCGTGAGGCTCCAGTCGTCCATGTACGCAAGGCCGGAGTCGGGCGCCCCTTGCGTAAGGGCGCCGACCATAGCATTTGGGGCGAGGCTGTCGCCCTGGAGGAGCCCGCGTTTCGACCAGATCAGCTGGCTAAGATCGCCGATCATCGTGCTAAACCGCGGAGCACGCCACACTGCCGCGCACAGTCGGGCGATGTGTGGCAGCACGCCCTGTCGCTCAAAGGCGTTCTCCGCGATAGCGAAGTCGATGTTGTCTCATTCCGTTGACAAGTCGTGTTCCGAGCCAGCCCCGCTGAGCATGCAGGAGTGGAGCCATGACAAGACAGCGTGGGTGACGCTGGCGGCATGTCGGCACGACCACGGGTGGGTCGGCGGCTCGGGGGCTGCCCCTGCGAGGGCGGACAGCCAGAGGCGCAGGATGCATGAGCCCACGCCGATGGGCCTCGAGCCGTCCTCCTTCTTCGGAATGCCCAAGATCTTCCAACTGAAGTTGCACCACAAGTTGTAGAGCACGTACATCATCTCCGGAGCCAGCCTGGCGACGAGGCGAAGCTCCGCGCCTGCCCAGCCGTCGAAGCCAGCCGCGCCCTTGGAGCTATGTACCGCGTTGTCGAAGACGTAGTAGTCGGGTAGCCAGTCAGCTGCCTGGCCGGAGCGTGGGAAAGCGACGTTTGCCGCCTAGGAGCGCCAGCGCTGGAGGTGGCCGTCGGCGTCGTGGTCGGGTGGGTCCCACTGCTGCTGCCACGTCTGCCTGAAAGTGTCGACGTCTTGGCATACTGCTGGTGGGATGTCCTTGAGCATGGGCGTGGTTGTGGTCCAGAGCGACGCTGAACACTCAGCGAGCTTGAAGCGCCAGCGGGCGGATGCGCCCTTGGTAGCTAGTCACTCGCACGTGTTGATCCCCGATGTGAGGGACCTCGATGGCGCCATTGTAGGTAGGAGTGTCGTCGGCGAGTTAAGCTGGATGTGGTCGTCCAGACCCAGGCGAGCGCAGCGGTCCAAATGGCGTGGTGAGAGGTACTGCGGACGCGGGTCGCGTCGGAGCGCCCCGGCAAAGCGACGTTGGAGTCAGGGTAATCACGCGTCGGTGGGCGACCGTCTGTGGAGGTCGGAAAGATGAAGGCGTGGCAGTCGGTCGCATCTTGGGGCGGGTGCCTTTCGCCCGTTCCACAGGGAGTGTGATGTGAACCTGGCCGAGCCGGACACCTTCCTTGAGGGTCTAGGCTGCTCGGGCATGCCAGTTGGCCCAACGGTCGGTCAGGCTGGCACCGGCGGGTGTGTGAGGCACCTGCTAATCAATGGCGTGCTGAATCAGCTCGACGTCTTCGGGGATGCGCGAGAGGCGGGCGTAGCCTGCTGTGTGTGAGCCGTCTGCGGGGTCGCGGTGCAGTATGGTGCAGTCGGACCGTGTAGTAGACGAGGGCGTGGTGGGGGATCCCAGGCAGCTGGAGTCGGCCATGATACCCTGGGGTGGGCGTGTCTCGGCCTCCGAAGGCCGAAGCTCTGGTGGTTGCCGTCGCTGCCGTCGTCGTGGTAGTGGGCGGAGCCTTCGTCCAGCCGGCGGTGAAGATCACGTCGTGGGACCGCTTCCAGTTGAAGTCGCAGATGGCCAGTAGCGGGTGGTTGCCGGTGACGGTCGATTCCAGATAGGCTCGTGCACGAGTAATACAAGTCGGTGGGGCGCCATAGAATGGCGGTGCCGCCGTTCGTCACTGCTTGTCGGGCGTTGCCAGGGGGTGGTGTGCTGAAGGCGATGCTCCAACCCCATGCCCTTGCAAGCGTGAATGCCAAACGGGGCCGCAGTCGATCGTGTCGCGTCTCCTGCAGGCACACCTCTCACACGTTCGTCCTGCAGGCCGCCGGATCTATTTTGGCACACCTCTCACACGTTCGTACTCGGGCCCATTTCGGCACACCCCTCACACGCTCGTGCCCCCATAGGGAGCTCCACCGAAGGCTCCAGCGGCAGGGATCGCATGCATAACTATTCGGGCCCATGTCGGCACATCCCTTAAACGTTTCGTGGCCCCATAGGGAGCTCCACCGAAGGCTCTAGTGGCAGCGATCACATGCGTACTGGGGTCCATTTCGGCACACCCCTCAAACGCTTCGTGGCCCCATGAAGAGCTCTACCGAAGGCTCCAGTGGCAGGGTCTCGTATGCGTACTGAGGCCCAATTTGCCACACCCCTCGCAAGTTTCGTGGCCCCCGAAAAAGATCCAACGACAGCTCCAGGACTCCAGTGGCAGGGTTCGCATGCGTACTCAGGTCCACCTCGTCGCGCCCCTCACACGTTCCCGCGTCCGACTTGCGTCGCGAGAGTGCGTGCGTGATCCGTGGCGACCTTGAATGTATCTTCCCGTTTCTTGACGAAGCGTTCTTGGGTAACGCAGATCTCTCAGTATGCTTCTGTGCATTAAGCGTTTCTGTTAATATTCACCACACGTTTACACTGGGTTGGACTCTTCGCCAGGGTAGTTCTTTTCTCGGTGTTCCCACGGCGGGACTGCGCGCGCGCAGCGCCCACTTGTTTACTCAAGAGAAAGGAAGTGAGGCCGCGGGGAAGGGGGCCCAGGAAGAGGGGGCGGGGAAGACGAAGGCGAGCAGCGAGTCGGAAATGCGGCTGGCCCCAGCGAGGGCGGAGGGCGTCGGCTCCGAGCCTGCCCGGCCGGCGCCTGCCCGGCCTCCGCACAGCCTCAGAAGCACACCCTGCTCAGTCGGAGTCGTTCTCGTTAGCCTGGACCTCCATCATCCTCTGGCGGCGCCGCTGCTTCCTGGACAGCACCGCGGGGGCGGGCGGCTTCCGCTTCAGGCCCCCCTCGCCGTCCTCAATCGTGGTTGGGAGCTCCTGGATGGCGTCGTCCTTCTCCGCTGCCGCGGCGGCTGCCTCCGCTGCCTCGGCGTCAGGATCGGGGCGGGCTGGTTGGAAGCCCTCTGGCACCTCCTCGATGCACCGGTAGGAGCCGTCCTGCAGGATCTCGACCTCGTCCACGCTAGGAGGCGTCTCCTCCAGCACCTTCTTCACGTAGCTGTCGACGCGGAGGTCGCTTGGCTTGAGGCTATTGGTGCAGACAGGGCACGTCCACCTATTGTTGACGGCCCGCATCTTCATGTTGCTCTCCAGATACGCGCCCAGCCCAAAGCACTGCAGGTGCGCGCACTTGTCCCCGCGCACGGGGATCACGACCCTCTCAAAGGACAGCGGGCAACGAAGCTTGAGCTTGTTGGAGATCACGCAGGTGATCTCATCCTCCTCGTCGCCGCCGGCTGCCGAGGAATAGTAGTCGCCAAGCAGTCTCATCACCCGTTCGCGTGCCTCCTCTTCGTCACACAGGGGTGTCTCGTCGGCCAGCTGGCTCGCCGTCTTCGTCTCCGTCCGGACGAGGGACATCGCGTAGCCTGTGAGGTGATCGTCCTCCATGGTGATGTTGATGGTGTTCATACCTGGTCTCAAGCCCGCCGCTATGTCCTTGGGGATGTCCCGCCGCACGTGCCCCTCCTCGGGCTCCTTGACGGAGAAGACCTCGGAACCGTTGGCCTCAAAACTGAGCTTCTTCGGCCACACTTGGGCGCAATTGTCGCTATCGATCTTCACCATTCGCATGTAGATGGCCTGGTCATCCTTCCGCCACGCCTTCAAGTCTGCGGTTGAAGGAAAAAACTGTGCATCAAAAAAGCTCCGACGACAAAAAAACGAATTCCACCCCTTCCACCCCCCGGGGCCATAATATTGGAATACATTGCGATCGAAATCTTGGGTTCAGATGTTTTTCGGCCGCTCATCTCCGGGACCAATTGCTCAATAGTAAGGCTGGGGGGGCGCCGGAGGGGAGATATTCGAAGTGGTTCCCCAACTCTTGATGCAAAGTTTTTTCCTTCAACGGTGGCAAGTCGAGCGAAAAGGCAATCTGTCCTCGCATGACGATGTGGCAGAGGAGGATCCCATAGGGCTCTACCACCGCATTGAACGGGTCCATCTGCCTGAAGCGGCACACTGGGCACCAGAAGTGATCCGCACTCTTCGAGTACCCAGCGTGCTGCAGGTCGTAGTCGCATCCGCATGATGTACACTTCAAATACTTCGGGGTCGGCCTCCCTATGCAAACAGGGTCGCTGAGCGGCGAGTCGGGCCCTTTGCCAAGCTTGTTTCTGAACGAAACGACCGCCTCGTACCGCACGCCTGGCTCCATGTTCAGCAGGTCCACCTCAATGGCAGGAGAAGGGACGGGCTCGGGCTCCTCCTCCACCAGCTGGCAGGTCGAGTGGTGAACGTACTTCCAAGAGCGCGCGCCCAGGGGGCGGAACTTCACCACCGTGCCAGTGACGGGCGGCACCGCGGTGAGCGTCTGCCACTTGATCCTGAAATGGCGCTTCTCCGCGTCCACGACCAGCAGCCTCGGCTCCTTCGGCGCGGCTGGCACGCCGGGCTTCTTGAGCTCGCCTATGCATGCAGGCCTGCTGACGGGGGACTCGCCGCAGCTGCGGCCGTTGGCGATGAAGGCAACCTTCGCCTCGTACTCGATGCCCTCCTCCAGGCCCGTCGCAACGACCTGGCACTCCGGGGCCTGGATGGGGGTCTTCGGCCAGAGGTACCAGTTGTTGTCCCCTACGCGGCGCAGCATGCAGTTCGTCGCCTTGGCTTCCTCCGGCAGAACCCACTTGACCTGCATCCTTCCCTCGCCGAGCGGCTTCAGGGCCGGCACCTCCGAGGTGGGCGCGCCGACGGCCAGCACGAGCTCCATGCCGCTGCCACTCCTCTTCGCGGCGTTCATGGCCGAGTCGCTGTCAATGGAGTACTCCCCGAAGCCCTCCGCGTTTCGACAGCAGACCGCCGCGACGTACTCAACGCCGTCCTCGGCATTGTTGATGGTGGCTTCCAGGCGGGTCGCGGTGAAGGTTGTCTTGCCCGACTCCACCAGCCGGCCCGTGGCGGCCTCGACGAGCCATTTCTTGCCCCTCCCCAGGTCGGTGAGCTGCACCTGCGAGGCCTCCACTGGCGGGCACGCCTGCGGTATGCTCCACGACACCTTGAACCTGCCCTTGTCCAGCGCCACTAGCTTCGGCGGCCCTGGTGCTGGCGGCTTCTCCCTGATCTTCGGAACGCCAATGGTGACCGGCAAACTTACGTCCGAGGCGGCGCCCCACCCGTCGCTATTCATCGCGGCGACAATCGCCTCGTAGGCGAGGCCCTCCTCGCAGCCGTCTACGGTGAC